AGGTCCAATCCAATATGTTTTGGACCGGTCCAATTCAATGTGTGGACTGTTTAATCTGTTTAAATTCATTTTGATTTAGATTGGTTTCAATCTAAATCCGGTCTATTGACACATATATTCTTATTTTATATCAATGGACTATATATTGGCTTAATCCAACCCAATCCAATATAAATTTATTACGATGAATCAGGTCCAATCCAATCTAATGAATATTATAGATCGAATTGTCCCAATCCAATATGTGTTATTGGTCCATTTAATTTGTTCAAATTGATTTTGGATGGGATAGGGTCCAATCCAAAACCAGTCCACTGGCACCCTTAGTTATAAGGTGTTAGGCCCCAGAGAGAATAAAGTTTGTCTATTTCAGCCCGTTTATTTTTGCAGTGCAAATACAAATACGTACAGTGCAAACAAACACTTATGTACGGCATTTTACTAATTTTTAAAACTTGTATTTGCACTCTTCCCATACTGAGCCTTTGGTTACTAGATTCAGAGCATGGGGAAAAATTAGTAGTAAGCCCTTCTGTTTTCTTTTTCCTGAGTCTGAGAGTGAAAATTTCAGGATTAAAAAGCCGGAATAATGTTTAAGGCAGATTCTATGGCCTTTCCTCTGTACTTTCCAAAATAGTTGCTTTGAATGAACACAGTGCGGCTAGCTGCTTAGATATAACATAACACTGCTGCACTATTTAATAATGATAAGCTGCTGCTCAAAATACATCATTAGACCCAACCAAACTCCAAAACTAATGGAAGGTCTACAAAATGTTGCGTTAGAATACTATCCTCAATTCCTGATTCTTCTTTTTTGAGTGCTAGAAATCAGAATCTACTCTATAATTTGTTATAGGGATAACCTTGGAGCACTTTCTATTTCCCTGCATACTAAATTAATCTCATTAGTTTCAATTTGTGGGTTTTTTTGTTGAAAAGTTTGTTAGACAGTTTTGTATGCCCTTAACTTCAATCAATTTTGATGTACTTTTGATATTTAATGTAAATAAATAAAGTACATGTTTGATTCATGTTGTGTGGTGTTCTTCTGTGTAAGACCCTAAAACTGGACACTTAATGAGACTTGTGTTAGTTTTAAATGTTCACAGTCGATGGATAAGTCTGGGGAGATTTATCCTGTCAAGGCTGACAATGGTGTACTGCCAACTGTTGGGGTGGCTTGTCTCAGCCGCCAGGGTGAGACCTAAGGCACACGCAGTGTAGGATTACTTGAACCCTTGAACCAGACTAGATTTCCAGTATTGCCCTACTCCTTGGAGATTGATGGGCAAAACTGGAAAGTTGCACCTGACCCCTACACCCGATTATGATACTGCACTAGGTGTCGGATTGGGTTGTCTTTGATATGCCAATCAGTGAGATCCTTAGCGGGGGTCAAAACCTAGGTATGTTGGGACAGTCT